AAATTGGGACGACCTTCGAAGAATCGTCGCCATGACAACCACACATATACTTATAATGACCTGTGAGGCGATCGATATGGCGGTGTCTCGCGTCGCCCAAATGATTACTTTGATAAACTCCCTTTCCGAGGTGATCCACAGTAAAAGTCTTGTACTGTTAATCCTCTTGTCTACTTGAGCATCCATGCCCATCTGAAACAAAAGCGGTAGGTACGTCCCGATAGAGAAAACGGCCAACGCACAAAGGCTGAACACAGATCTGGGTTGAGTGAAAATGTTTTTGAAGTGAAACGGCCTGGCGACGCAAAGACACCTGACGATGGCCAGGTACAAGGTGGTCAACATCGACATTACGTAAAGCATGAAGCTGACATTGGCGGATATCGTATACCCGCCAAACGGGTCGACAACAAACCACATCCTGTATCCGGTACCCATCTCCAGAGCCCAAAAGATGGAGAAAAATCCCATGGACATGGATGAAACAACATACAGAAGATCCGCCACTGAGAGAACGAAGAAAGAGAGGGTGACGCCGTCTGTCAAGCCCATCGTCAGAAATGTGCTGATGCTTATTGCGTTAGTGATAACTCCAAAAACTCCCAGAAAAAGCAAAATCCAAGCAAACATCCAGACGACATAGATCTGTTCTTCATCGCTGATAATTCCATTACTGACAGACTTTTGAATAACAGTTATTAGCATTGTTTCCTTATTATATAAGTATATATGTATGAATATATATATATATATATATTGTACTAATTTATGCATCACTACTTCTTCCACTAACCCTGACTAAAAATACGAAAATGTAACCTTTTTTTTTTTTCCCTTGCGCCTCAGAGATCAAGTACCTTTCACGATCGAAACCGCAGCGTTTAAATTTACCCCCAAAAAATTCCTTCTGTGCCATTTCGACTCAATGTTTTTGAAAGACGGCATAGGACAAAATTAGATCTTCCTGTTTGCTCCAAGCCTAATCTTTTTTATTTAACCCATGTAGATCTAGATCTAGACCAGAAGTTTTTGGCATCTGAAGTACTATTTTAGTACAACTATCTTCTGTTCAAAAGAACGTCTGTAATCTATAATACAAGTTTAGATCCAGATGGACATGTATTATAGATGTAAAACAAAAATAATTTCTTTCAGTAACTATAGACTCTCGATTAGCTCAGTTGGTAGAGCATCAGACTTTATATCGGACTGACAGAGTTTCAAGTCCCCCAATAGGGCAAAAATATATATTTAATATATATTTTTTTAAACTGCGTTTTTCGCACGAGTTAATTTTAATAATTCGATCTACATACAAATTGAAACGGAATTTCTAACCTTGGAAAAGCAGATGAATCGTCCTATAATGGAAAATAGACGAGGTTCGATTTTTATAGGTAGGAGAGTTGGGGGGGCGGGGGGGTGTTAGAGAAGTGGCCATAGGAATGTATGGAGGAGCTTTTAACTGTATATCATTCTATTGCTATAAGTTTTTTTAAAAAGGAGGAGGGGGGGCTCCATTCTATTGTTATCGTTACACGGAAACCTTCTCCCAGACACCTTCTCCACCCCTCCCGCCCTTCTCCCACGGAATGAATAAAAGATTTGAACCAGAGCGTATTGAGTATGCTTATGGCGTGAAAGTAGAAATATACCAAAGTAATGTTTATAAAAATTCAAAGACTCATTTTTGAGTTTTTGTGACCTATGAAATTTGCGTATTATCTCAAAGCTGTTTAAAACTGTTCTAAGGGAAGTAAACACACAAACACTTGACATCAGTTTAGTTCTTACAATTCTTAACTATAATACACATTATCTATGGCATTGGACCGAGTCAGCCTATTGAAAACTATTTCCGAGAATTCCGTGTTTTATTTTATCTAAAATTGCAATTAAACAATACCAAATAACAGATGAGATTAGATTCTACAGATGGTACTTCATCCAGAGACAGTGCCTGGGGTAATAGTTCCTGTCCTGCTAGTTAGTTTTACTATTTAATCTGTAATTATACAGGTCGGTGCAGTTTAAACTCTTGATTCTAAAACTGTTTAAATAGAGATTATTTCCGATGCCATTTAGTGTATAAAAACGCTCGATGTAAAAAAAAAACAGTCTCATCACATTTAAAAGATATCGACACTTAATATCCCCTGTTTTGCATGAATTATAATTTTAGATCAATGGAACCGGTTTATGTCAACCTCTGTGATGTAATTGCTTAATACAAACGTATTATCCCTTAATTTAGCGTCACGAGCAAACACTAGTATTAAATAATGCGTTAATTTTAAATTTCAGTTATTAATATTGAGCTAGTGGGAGATGAAATATTTAATATATTCAGTTATCTTAAAAAAATAGAGTAAAATAATTCATCAAAATTTGTTCCGCCACTTGAACATCTTAAACTCGCCTCGAAAGATTTCGACTAAAAGGCAGAGTGAACAACATGAAAGACATCACATGTATATCAATCTGAACAATGCAGAGCACGTCTAGCAGACATAACATTCACCCATATTAACCTCGTATTAAAACACAACTTAGCAGAATAACTTATTTGTTCCGGAAATACTGCCTTCGGCATAAATGAAGAAGACAGTGTTTCATTGCTATGATTTTGAGATCGGACCAGACTAGTATCAAACATCTTTAGGAAAAAAAAAGCGGAGGTAATATCAAAGTTGAAACGTAAATACGGATGTTCAAAAGCCATAAAGCGCCTGGCTCTGATGGTCTTCAAGTAGAAGTTTTAAAAACCGGTGGTGCCGCACGGAAATTGTAACCTCTTCATGTAATGCTCAGACCTCGGCTACGCCCACCAATCATATTTACTGTTACAAAAAAAAAAAAAAGGCGACAAGTTCGATGGCTGCCAATTATCGTAGAGCAATTACTTTACTTCAATGGCGGAAAGTTCTTGTCAGAACTGCTGTGCAGTAGAAATGTGCTCAATAAAAGCCAGTAAGGTTTCCGGGCTGTTAGAAGTACACCGGAAATGATTTTCGACGAATGCAGGTAAATAAAGAAGCAGAACCTGGACTTGTACGCGGCCCCCGAAAGGAGAAAAGACGCTATTAGTTTTGTGTGAAAAGTGCGTCTGTCCGTCCCGTTTAGATCTCGTAAACTAGAAAAGATAGTGAAAATCCGACATCATAATATTTTAGTCTTTTCAAAGCTCTGATGCAACGGCTACTTTTTTCTTTTCTAAAATCGAAAAATCATTTTTTTTTTAATCACTAAGGATTAACCCTAATCCTATGCAAACAGTTTTTTTCATAAACTGTTCATTATTAATAGTATCAAACACTGGAGGCTACTTAGTAGGGGAGATGACTATGTACCATATTTTAACACATTTATGCAAGTGGTTTTAGATTTTTTTTCCAAACATTATTTTTTTTTTACATTTGTATTGCAAAGTTAAGTAAGTACTGTTATACTAACTACTATATTTAGCCAAAATTAAATGTTTACGTTTTTGTTTATGAGAAAAAATCTATTTAGTATGCATATAAGTTAGACATAATTTGAAACAACAATTAATAAGCAGTTTTTCATATTATCGCATGAAACTGCATTACCACTAAATATCCATAGAAAAGTTAAATAAAGGAATTTTTTTTTTACGGAAATGTTTTTTGTTCATTTTTTGTTCATTTTAATAATAGATTGACCTTTTACAAAACAATTAGATCAATTAGATACTCATTATAAGACATAGGTTAGGCCAGGTTCACATTTAACTTCATTCACTTTCACTTATCCTTTGGTCTGTTGGGCCACTGTCAACCTTCTTTCTCCATTCTTCTCTTTCGTTGGTCATTGAACGAATTTAATTAGCATGTTCTTTCTGAAAATATTGAAACCTGACTTTTTACCTGCCTGGGTGGACGGGGGGCCGATTTTGAGTTTGTGTTTCCACACAAACTGTCTTTGTAACCTTCTTACAATGTGAGTCGGTGGTTTTGTTTTTTTTTGGAGGATTTCTAATAGCACAGATTACTGTTGGTCTAGATCTGTTACAAAGTTAATTACGACTGATCCAAACTAATCGATTCACACTTCGTATAAGTTTTTTTTTAAAGTATTTTTTATGTTTTTCTTATTAATGTTATCCAGACAGCTTTTCTTTTGACGGCTTTCGCCCGCTCCTTCCACTGTACCTTGAAGAATGATTTTTGATAGTGATTCCTGCCATACAATATAAACGCACCAGATCAGATTTTGTGACTTCACAAGAGTTTCTCCTTTTTGCCAACTAGAATGTTGACTTGTAAAAAGTACAAACTCATTTGTCTTCTTTTCTTGGTATCTGATACCGAGCACTTCTCTGTAGTATTTACTGTCAAGGGCTTTGGGTTCTTCTTTCAACCTCAGCGTTCAGTGTCTAACTTTCACAACCATATAGGAGTACAGAGACCACTAGCGCCGAAAAGTCTTAACTTTATCTATGCATAGAAAAACGAAATAGGTCTTAAGTATCTCTCCTTTTTCATTTTATTCTTAAAACCTACCTCAATCCCGCCCCAACCACCTTTTAAGTTGGCTAACGGGGACTCGAACGAATTTTTATAAAAATCTCTGGTTACTGTGGAATAATGATTTTAACATTTAGATTTTAGCCACTTAGATATAGACCATTCAATATTGACAATGGTTGCGTGTCTGAATGGAGTAACCCTCTCGAATACCTAACAAGGGGGTTCGTGTTTGTATCTCGAATGGAGCCTAGTGTTTCCTCGATAATCCCTCCTTCCCATGTCTACAAAAAAAAAAAGGAAAAAAATGACAATAGCGCGCTGAGCATGCTAAAGCACGAAATATGCGCTATACGTTTCAAAAAACTTTATTTTCGATCATTCACTAAAAGTTTAGTGGTACATTTTAAACCTGTGTGTGTTAAATTTGAGTAAACCTCTGCGATAGGTTTGAAGCCAGGGGAGATCACTATGTTGTGTAATGAAAAAAAAAAAAAGATAAAGTCAAATCGAGTTTCTTATTTACACATGACAAACTTTTCTTTAATCAAATCATCAATGAAATGGCTGTCAATAATATTATAAAAAATAAATAAATACATAAATAAATAAACCCTAATTTTATACAAAAGCTGTAGAAACATTGGTAAACACTAACATAAACCTTAGAAACCTACAATTCCAAGTACCGGTAATTCTTCACTACTTATAATGGACATGCTGTCGTGCATGCTCTATAGCAAACATTCAGCCTTATACTCCAACTTTTAACATTTAAAATGTCATTATTGTTTGACGTGTGGGTCAAAGGTAATTTTAAATAATGCATTGATACGAAGAAAAAATATTGTTACCTTATAAAAAAAAAGTATGCACTCCTAGTTCTTCGGCTCTAGAAAGTCTGGATAAACATGAGAATGATTGACTAGGATTACCTTACAAAGTTCCCATTTCAGACCTTGCGATCCATAGGACAGATGATGTACAGGGCATCTGTTTTGTGGCCCACGTTAAACTGGGGCATCTGTTTTGTGGCCCACGTTAAACTAGGGCATCTGTTTTGTGGCCCACGTTAAACTAGGGGGCGTCATGTGGCCATCACAATGACCAACCATCTTTACTTTTCCCCAACTCATGTTTGTACCACGTACACGAGGAGACTATAGACTCTCAATCATGCACCAAAACAGACCCATCAATAATAGACTAGACCTCAATCATGCACCAAAACAGACCCATCAGTAATAAACTACACTCTCAATCATGCACCAAAACAGACCCATCAGTAATAGACTAGACCCTCAATCATGCACCAAAAGAGACCCATCAATAATAGACCTACACCCTCAATCATGCACCAAAACAGACCCATCAATAATAGATTCTGGGAACTTTCATCTTTTGTTCAACAAACAACATTCTAAAAATAACCTTGTTCTCTTCTCATCCTTTCCTTCTCCTTTCAACATACATTTGCACCATACAAAATTCACACTATGATGCGTACGTAGCAATCAGGAACCCATTGGAGTTGGGTGGACTCAGGGGCGCCAAATAGATTCCCGAAAAAAAAATCCCAGTTTTGAACAGGATTCGAACCAGGTTCGTCAACCAAGCGCTTTTATTATTCAACCAGCAAGCCTCCAGGATTAACTTGAAGCGATTAGAATTCTTATTAACAATGATAAAAAAAATACATCACTAAATAATGACCCAGTTAATTGTCTACGGAGGCGCGGTGGTTGAGCGGTAAAGCGCTTGGCTTCTGAACCGAGAGTCCCGGGCTGAATCCTGGTGAAGACTGGGATTCTTATTTCGGGATCCTTGGGCGCCCCTGAGTCCACCCAGTTCTAATGGGTACCTGACATTAGTTGGGGAAAAGTAAATGCGGTTGGTCATTGTGCTGGCCACATGACACCGTACTCGTTAACCTTAGGCCACAAAATCAGATGACCTTTACATCATCTGCCCTATAGACCACAAGGTATGAAAGGGGAACTTTCCTTTTTTTTTTTACTAATTGTCTACTATGTTGGGGGAGAGGACAAAGAATCGTGAGGAGGAATACAGCAGGGAGAAATGGTTCATACTATTTGTGATGTATCAATTCAAAATTAAACAAGTTTATCTCCTGCTAATATTAAATTCAACAATGTGATATGTTACCTATAATTGAATGTTGTCTGCATTATAAAACAATGAAAGAAAAACATAATTTTAATATGCTGTATCTTAGTATTTTTTTTCATATTGTTAGCATATAGACATACACAAGTGTAGACCACTTCGCTGCAGATAACATATAACATAATTTTGTTACATAGCACACATTCATTTTTAATATCGAGACATGAAATAAATTAATACAATAAAAAATATGTTTTTTTACATAAAGCAATGATCATATTTCAATAACAAGACCATAATATATATATAGTTTTATGAAATCTTTATTATAGTAATTTCATAAGCACTCCTTCTTCATCACTGTTGACATGAATTTAAAATCAGTAGGTCTACACTAGAGGCTAGTACATCTACAATTCTTGATAAAGCATGTGTAAATATTGTGTGTTATGTGAGCATGTGTGATACATTTTTACAAAGGTTATATCAAATCACTCTGTCTGGTAAAAAGATTGTACACGTTATTTCTCTAACACCCAATCTCTGAAATTTTATATCAATTATTTTTTTTACCCGAGAACACAAAAATTAATTTTAAAATTAACCAATTAGTTAACTATTGGTAATTAATATGTTTGGTATCTCGAAAAGGGACACAAAAATTTTACTTCACTTATAAGGTGGTATAAGTTGAATTAGTCCCCTTTAGACATTTTAGAAAGAAATGTTTGTAAATAGCTATAAAACCTATTTACATAAGCAGCTCCCTGGTGCAGTAGTTAGCGTATTAGCTTGAGGAGACCTTAGCTCTCGAGTTCGAATTCAGGTCGTGAACTTTTTTTTTATAAATACATTTAAAAAGCCATCCCCCAGATACCCCCCTTCTTTCTCACCCTAATCCCTTTCAAACTGGTCTAGACAAGTGATAGGATCATAGCTTATTGAGAAAACATGAAATTGCGTTAAACAAAAACAATTGGTAAAAATATTTCTAATCCTACAGATTTATTATTGTTAGTCTAGATCAGTGATTCCCAAAGTGGTCTATATGGACCCCCAGGGGTCTACGAAGACTTCCAAGGGGTCTATGAAAGTGAAAAAATAAATTGGGGGTCTATGAGGTGTCCACGGGGGTCTACGATAACACATTTCATTTAAACAGGTTGTGGCTTAAAATAATTTTTACAACCCATTAATGTAATTCTTTCATATACAAATATATGATTTGCACCTTAGTTAATCTTTTAAATATTTATCCTGCTTTTCAAACGAAAAATTGTTGCATTAAATGTCAATGCTTATTTAAATAGCTTCATTTTGTTTACATGTAACTAATGTTTAACAAAAAGAAATGTAGGCTGTACAGCGTTGATTCTTTAAAATTGGGATTCCATCCTTCCTTATCAAAAAAGCAGTTGCTTTAGTGCATTTTTTAAGATGATATGATATATGAAACCAATTACACTGGAGGATCATCTGTGACAATGCCACACTGACAAAATAGATAAAGATTTGAAAAACTTTCGAACACTAGAAGATAAAGTTCAGAATAGACCCACGAAATCTCTCTTCGACATCCTATAGAGAAGTTGATGGTTTGTGAGCGTCTTACAATATCTCGTTCATCATCCTCATCTCTTTACTTATAGCAACATACGTGAAACACTAAAGATAAAATAATTGATTTTACCAGCCAGTGTAGTTTTAAACACTCTTTTACACAAACCTACGTCTGAGATTAATACAAGAATTTATTTAAGCAACACTACAATTCAAGGGCACATCGGTGCCATGAGTTATAAAATTAAACGTTTCTTATGTAATTTCTTGGAAACAGTTCCATTGCGCAGCCAATGTTTGAGCCACACGTGGTAGATCAAGAAACACTCAAGAAACTACATTGCGAAAACTATAGCAATGGATGTTAAATCTGAAAAAAAAAACATTTCCAGTGTGTTTGGTGATAAAAGCAATACCTATTAATTGTTATTTTAATTAGTCTAAATTTTAATCTTTTCAATAAAAAGATATATCTCTATAACTTCATATGTAGCTTTGAATTAGTTTTCACTCTTCAACTCACTACAGTTAGAAATAAGTTTTTAAAACAATGTTGATGAATTTACAAAAATTTGCAAGTTAAGTAAGGGGTCTACCGAAAAACAGAAAACATGGCAAGGGGTGTACGAGACAAAAATGTTTGGGAACCACTGGTCTAGATCTATTACAAGTTTAATTATATGACTGATCCAAACTAATGGATACAAGTAAACTAATTACCAGTTTGTTTGTTTTAAATTTTGCTTGTTTAAAGTTACCTTTGATTTGTCTCCTTTGAAAAGTCGATGCAATTTTAACATCCATTTTAACTATTGAATTACAATGGATGATCAACAAGATTTAATTTCAATACTAGTTATTATAAATTTGTTACAAGTAAGAGTGATATTTTTTTTTTAAATTTAAAGCGTAAAACGATACACAATTTAAATTATATATTTTTTAAAAATATAAAACACTCTACGTTGTGTCAGACTGATCTCCAAATAGCGCTCCAATGTCCATATCTGGAACTGAACTTGTTCAAAAGATTTTTTTTTAAATGTCTGGTCAGGATGTGTCCACCTGAAGACAGCTACTTCTTGCCAAGCTTTGAAAATATGGGAGAGAACTCAAGTATAGGACAGACGTTCACCTAAAAGTATCCTAATTTTTTTACGGACTTGATCTTGTTCTTCGCAAATTCTTGTTCTCAGGTGCGGAGGTAACTGGAAATAGACAAGAAAATGCTTATATATATATATAAGAAATATATATATATATATATATATATACCAGCATATTGTGTAATCCGGCATTCTAAAGAATGTCTGAAGATTTCAGGCAAGGTAGGAATGATTTTTTTTCCTAAATCTGTACAATTAAAAAAAAAAAAGTAAAGTTCCCCTTTCAGACTTTGCGATCGAATAGGGCAGATGATGTTAAGGTCATCTGTTTCTTTGGCCAACGGTTAACGAGTAAGGTGTTATGTGGCCAGCAAAACGACCAACTGCCTTTACTTTCCCAGATATAGTCAGGTAACCATTAGAGTTAAGTGAACTCAGGGAGTCGTCAAAATCCCAAAATTGAAAATCCTAGTCTTCACCGAGATTCGAACCCAGAACTCCAGGTTCAGAAGCCAAGTGCTTAACCGCTCATCCACCGCACCCAACATTTTATAGAAGTACTAGAACTGCTCCAGGAAAAGTGTGAAAGGTTGATTCAAAGTATTTGATAAGTAATATTAGTTTCGGGAAAAATATTTCTACCCTCCTGTTGACTAAATAATGTAGTCCTGTTCTTTAAAGTGTAGACTTTTAAAAATTGCGACTGAGTGTGCACAACTTTATGGAACTCTGTAAATTGTTGGTACAAATAGTGTTTTATATTGTGTTGTATGGAAGTCGAACTAAAAAAGAATATGTGATCCATGCGAATATAACTACAAAGAAATAACCGCATGCCTTGATATGGATTTATATTTTAGTGTGACGATCGTGGAAAGCACAAGTTAATTCATCGTGTTAAGCAAGGCTTCAGTGTAATTAATTGATCTTTACGTTGGGGATGAGCACAGTTCTTATTTCCCATGAAATCGTAGATAGCTATGGAGTCCAATTCTCGCTTTAAAAAGCCAGCCATGTACATAACATGGAAAAGCTTGGTCCTCGCTCAGTAATAAGTTTTATGATATTAGCAGGTCCATTAAGTAAAGTTTTATTAGTTGAAGTTGAAGTTATACTAAGTGAAGTTTCATGTATCATTTAAGTTTTATTTATGTAGTATCAAATCAAGTTGTTATTGAATTAAGAAGTTAATTTGATGTGAAAGTTGAAGAAGTTAT